GTGAGAGTAGATATTAGTGATCTATGCATATTATCTTTTTTCTCTTGTATTTCGCAACTCCTGTTCCGTACCGTACGTCCGGCGATTGGCACGTACGTAAATGCGCAACCCGAGGATGTGCGCGCCTTGCGACAGCGCGGATGCCGCGAAATTGCAGCATTAGCTTGTATACCTTATTAATACGAGTGCCGTTGCAAAATAATGAATATATACGTACATACGTTTTTGTACGGTAACCTTCAGGCGCGTCGGCCCACTTGCATTCGTTTGCAACGCTCGAGTTGACGCGAGGACGCTGAATTTCGCTCGTAAACACCGAAGTTTAAGTTATACTCTTTACTTATTACGTGTTCGTACTGATAGTGGCATCATAATGATACCTGCCACAGTTAAGTGAACGATTGTAATTTTGTATCTACTTCTTCGCAACGAAACGAAGGCAACAGGAATTTTCGTGTTAGTAGAAATATTCTTTACAGAGTCAACTATTTATTAGTTAATTAGGAACTGTTTTATGGTTTAGCTCTTTTATAAAAGTTTATTATAACCTCTATAGATAGATGTTTATTATGACGTCTTATAAAAGTGCCTATTATAATTATTTTATGTCGAAAATGTTAAATTGCTTACATCATTAAATGTATCTAAGAGTATGGAAGGTAGACAATAAAGTGTACACTAGTTTACAATAACAAGTCAACCTTAGTTATTTTGAATGCTATCTCGTTCGCCCGAAAGCCTAAAATTGCACTTTGTAATACGTACCCTCCCATATAAGCGTACGCATTAACCAACTGGAAACGGTAACTGCGAGGTTTGTAGTTTTTCGCGCGTATAAACACGGTGCGCTCTCAGCGTTAAAATTTATAATCAAATGGAGATGTGGCGGTTTTGTATAATCTGACGCGCCGTTGACTGTTCACCTAGCGAAGAATATTTTTGAATGGATAAGGTACACTCACCACGCCACACTAAAAGCGGTTCCAGCTCAGTGGTCTCCCTGCTGCGGGAGCTGGGATGCAAAAACATTGCTTATCCAGAATCCAAATCTGCCATACTGTTAAAACTCTTCAGCACTCAACACTATTAACTTTAGTTAATATTGTAGTAAAACCGGACACTTTTAAAATTCAAAGTTTAAAAACGGAATAAGATATTTGCAATAAAAAACAATTATATTTAGATTATACAATTTTAAAAAAAGGAATACTCGTCACTGATTTTAAAGGAAATTAACGTTGAAGTAAACAAAAGAATGGTGTGCACATAAGCAGTTTGCCCTATGACTGGCCACTAAGGTCGGACGCCACAACGTGCGAGGGATTGTATGGAAGGGGCGACGATTGATCAACATACCTACTCTTATGTTCGCCTTGAAATATGAAATTTGCAGACGTAATTTTAACATTTCGATGGACAGTTATATTTTTCTTACAAACGTTGTATTTTTTAGGCATTTTCAGAGAAATTAATGAACAATGGTGATTTCACAGAATCTGTCAAATTTACAAAATAAATCTGTCAAAGTTATAACAAATAACATCCAGTATTATAAATAGAAAAAAAACATTAATTCTAGAAGGTTTTCGCTTTTTTTCGTTATCAAATTTTGTGCTTAACTAACCGCAAGTGAAGCTTATTGATCATTTAATGTATAAAAAACAGAAACATTGATTTTTTCATTTCAAAGAGTGAAGTAGTTTGATTTATTAGACGTTTTTTAAGTATATTTTTAAGAAAAAGAAGATCTAAAAATTACGATTTATAAATCAAAAGCCGTGTTTGTATTAATAAAATCAATAAAATTGTATCTATCACCAAAAAATATTAGCTGTATAATTAATAGTAGATCAACAAATTGTACTCGTAGTAACAAACATATTTGCATTTAATATCAATTAGCGTATACATTTACATTAATAAATCTTCAAATTGGTAAATGTAGAAAAAAAAATTAGACCGCGTTGTGAAAATTTAATGAACATCTATTAAGGTTTATGTTTTACTTCTTTTTATTGAGTTCTTAATGAAGTTTTTTTGCATGAATTCGTTGGTTTTGGAAAAAAATCTTTCACTAGGACTCAAAATCCACTGTACAACTACGTGCGGTTGCATGACAAATAAAAAAGATCGTGTTTTGTTTCTATAGATCGCTGGATCGTCCATTCTAAATTATATCATTTAGTTTAGTTCCGTCTGCACTATCTTCTTTACTTTAACATTTGCCTGATTTTATTAGTAAATCCGTTGTACGAATAACAGAGTCAGAGCGATTTGTTCATTCTTTTTGGAGTCAAACTCTTTATTCACATCCAAAGATGCCAAAATACAGCTCAAGGTTGAAAAGCATCTTCAAGGCTTTGGCTGAAAGAGAGCGGAAAAACTACGTCAAGGTCATTGCAATGTTGCTACACCAGCCAGCCATGTGGAAAGCGTGTGCCATATGATGTTGTGATACGCGAAAAATAGACAGTGTGTGTTAGTTCTTTTTTTTAAACAGCAAAGAAAAACGTACTTTATTTTTAATTAAAGACTTAGGAGATACAATCCGAAAGGATTATCTATCAAAACAGTATTCAATGCATAATATGAAAGAAAAAACCGTTGCAGTGTACAGTTTTGTTTGAAATTGAAAATTCTCTTCATTTAAGTAACGTTACTGAGTTATATGTAGAACACTGAGTATACTTTTGGATCTACTATAATAGTAATTGGAATATTTAAATTTTTTAAACTTTTATGATGTAATAGATATTTCGTCTTATTTAATTGTTTTTGATGATTAAATATTGAGTAATTAATTTCTATTTTATTGGTGAAAAAATATAATCGGATCGGGATCAATATAAAAAAATGTACTGGCTAACCCAAGAATTCGAATCGAGTAACTAGACTAATACAAAATATAAACCCGATTCTGGTACATACTTAAGTAACGACTTAATTAAATTAAGCCTTGTAAGTTGTCTGAACTTTATGTCACCTTAAAACTAAAAAAAGTATTTAGTTAAATTACTGCAACCAGACGTAACCTATAAAACGCTTATACGACCAAATTGCAACGATAAATTGTAATTAATATTGATTGCTTGGTAGAGGTGTAAACACGCTCGTCGGTGAGGACCACCCGTGCTTACGGCTAGGACTGTCTCCCGACTAATTTATTATTTCAGTAGCTAGTCAACAGTCAAAACATACACAGAGATGATTTAAAGCGCCATAAACGCACGTTTTATAACGAATGGAAATGAACTTTTACCAATGATAGTGTGCAGTCGCGTTCGTTTTGTAAATTTATAAAATATATGATTGCTTAGATAATTACATTCATGTAAAATTATTGCGAAATATAAGTGAGATAATAGTTAAATGTTATTTCTGAAAGCATTGCACCAATTCTTAATAGCTTTTATTTGATTCAATTTGAATGTTCATAAAAAAGATAAAGAATGCAAATCTCAAATTCAAAATTACTTTTTTATGATTTATAAATTTTATTAGGTACAACTAATTTAAAAGTTCTCATAAAAGTTTCAAATAATGATTGTTAAATCTCGTAAATTTTAACATATAGGAGTAATTAGGAAACGTTATTTTTTTACGTTTTTTGGATTTAATCCTCCATCAAATTAAAATAAAATAGTGTAATGATTTATGTGACTGTTTAGCTTTGAGAGCTACTTTATTAAGTATACTCATTGTCATATCATCAAGAGTAGCTCGGTGGCGTAGTGGATAAGCGCCTCGGCCCGCGATCGTTGTCGTTAAGCAACTTTCGCAAGGGTCGGTCACGAGATGGGTGACCAAAAAAAAATATTATCTCCAGCTACTCCGTGCTTCGGACGGCACGTTAAACCGTTGGTCCCGGCTACATTTGCAGTCGTTAATACCCTCCAATCCGCATTGGCCTAGCGTGGAGTGTCATGGCCCGTCCTCCTTAACCATCCATAAGGAAGGCCTCAGCCCCTGCAGTTGAGATGTAAAAGGGCTGATGATGATGATTGTCATATCTTGTATACTTTGTAGTCGAGTTATCAAATGCAAAATAGAAATAAAAGAAACATAGTGATATTTTCCTGTTTCAAAGATACATAGATAATAATCGTAAGGTGCCGATGTGTAAAACGATTCTTGGAAGCGCTTGGAAGTATTAGTAAGGTAAGTGCATTATTTGTAAACACAGTGGGGCAGGTAATTGGTGGGTTATCGCGAGCGGTTAATGAGGCCGTCTAACTGCCCGATAAGCGCCGATTCACTTATCTTTACGAGATAATGATAACACTGAAGCTCGGATCGGTGTGAAACTTTTAAAGTTTGGAAACTTGTATAGATAAAGGGTATCGATAAAGTCGAGTATATTTTATTAGTTTCATTAGTAGTTTTATAAACAAAACTGAACGTTTACTTAACTTTTATTATTAGAATTCCCGTTAAAATGTTATCGGACCGTGAATACTAAGTTATAATTATAGAAAGTTTGTTTCCAATTAGTGTTTATTAGAAAATTAAATATAGACACAAATAACAACAGAGTATCAATGGAAGTCATTTTGTGATTTAATCAGATTAATTCATTAAAAAATTCTTTAATGAACTTTCTAAACCCAGTAATTTGACAACTAAAAAGAAGTCCCATTAACTCTACTAAGTGTTTAAATACCTTCCGATATAGTATATAAAGTAGTTTACACTGAACGGAATTGTTTTCCGTATTGTGTTAAATAATTAGGATTGTATAAAAAATATTTTGAGAACTAAAAGTAATCAACGTCTCTGGATCAATACGTTAAATAATCACCAATAAATAAATATGTCATAAAAATACTTCATTAGCGTCGCTTTGAGATAGTAATAACTATAAAAAAAGTTCGCAGTAAGTCACTCGATGCGAGCAAAGTTGGATCGATCGTGGTGGAGACCCTTTAAATCTTATACTCAACAGTGAAATTGTCCCTCTGAGATTACGATGAAGTTGATGACAGAGATCGTTGAAGACTCACCAGTGTTGTTGTTGTTGTTGTAGTGATGTCCGGGCGGGGGTAAGTAATCCGGCAGTTCCGGCAAACATACGTTGCTCTCGTACATATTGGGCGGTACGTTGGCCAATAAGGAACGCTCTTTTTCTACATCTGCGAATGTTCACTTTAGTTTAGACAAACATAATTTATTCTAATAAGGTCATTTTATTTTGATATTAATATTTGTCAGTCATATCTATACCAATCATAATAAGAACTTTCTACCTTAGTTTGTTTGTACGAGATGATCCGATCATGAAAATGCTTACGCCTGCGAGAAGTTAAATCATTTACGAGGGCGAAGTCGCGAGAAAACCACTAGTGTTTAAATTTTTCTACATTAATGTGTTTAGATGTAACTTATACACGCTTTATTTCACTTAATTACCAATTTGGTTTTTTTGAATTTGAAGTTATAGTGCTTAAACTCTTTTCCGACTTATATATAGTTTCCTTGTCTAGTTAAGTAGTTGTGACCACATCAACGTAAAGAAAAAAATTAATAAAAACAAATGAAACGTCAAGTTGACAATGTAGCTTAAATTGGCGGTATTATGACGTACCTTTTTGTAATATTTCGAGATGTTCCCATAGGATATCGCCCATAAAAGCAGGCGCGCGCGCGACGAACTCCTCGCGGCCCATGGCGCATATGTCCTTGCCCTGCGCGCGCGCAAATTGCTGCAACGCTACGCCCTCCAGTGAAAATTCGCGCGCCGCCCAACGCAGCCACGCAGCCACTGCTGCTTCGCTCCATTGTCTGGGGTCTGCGGAAGGATGAGGAATTAAGTTCCATTTACATTATCAGTTTTCTTATTTCATTATTTATTAAGTCACATCTTGCTTACAATCATTATTTTCAAGCGTAACATTTTCCATAGTTTCACTTTATAAGTTAAGATTACCTTGGACTTCTTAAAAATATGGTATAGGTAACAAGAATAAAGGTGCTTTTAAATTAAGCAAATGATCCATGGACAGCTGTTAATACTAAAAACTTTTTTCTGGATATGACTTCAAATAGATCAAGTGCTTTTGGGGTATATTAATCGAGTATTAAGTTAGACTATGTTACTATTTTAATCGAGTAGTCGCAAATAGCACACACAAATAATTAGAGTCCTCGTAGCGGACGGTGCAACAACAATTAGCAGGGCACCGAACCGAGTCGTTTCGAGAGCGGAACTTGCCCCACGCAGGATGTGCGTCGACCTTCGCGCCTGCACATGCGCTTGTTTCTTTATATTGTAATGACCAACTTAATTTAATTAAACCTTTTTTATACGATTCATTAAAATCACACAAGTATGATGTGATGATTTATAACTCATACTGTCTTTTCACTACGCAGTATGAATTAAAGACTCTGCAATTCCCTTTGTTTGTTAGGCTTTTAACGCCTTCTTTGTGACGGAACTAAATTGGATTTTAATATGGTGTTTATTGTTGGATAAAAAGATTACTTGTTTTAGGCAAGTTGGGCGAAGGTTTTCTGTAGGTTAAACGAATGATTGGCGCCCGAATTTAATATTATTTTCTTGAATAATTTGCTTTTGAGATAAGTATTATTTATTGAAAAAAGTTTTTATCTATTTCGTTTATCTATAGTGTATTTGGACTACAATTTTGACAATTTATAATGACATGTGACACGAAATATCGTACCTATAGTATAATTATATTTATTAAGATATTTATGTAAGCATGAGAAGTGATTATCTACTCAATAATTTACTCTCTATTTGAAACATATTGTACAATTACTTAAAGTCCTGAAACGAAGGCGAAGCAACTACAAACAGAAGCCTAGTTGTTAATAAAAAAAGGTCTATAAAACCGACAACAACTTCTAAGAAAAGTTTACAGTAAACGCCGCCGCCCATCAGACACTGACGGTCGTTATTAAGCACAGTGGTTGATCACCGCTGCATCAAAGATTAGATATAATCGTTGAATTGCAAAAACGGTCGCACTCGCCAGTTGCTCTAGAAGGCTTTTACAAAGGCATCGCGAAGAAATCTAAAGCGCGTCCAATTTAAATGGTAGGATCGCATCTTATCGTGTGCTGGCGCGAACACTCGTAGAACCGGACTGGCGGGGGCTACTAGAAATTATAGGTTCCATACCGGCAGAAGGAAGATTTTATGATTTGATTTGCTGTTGAATTACTTAGAATAGTTTACTGTTATTTTTAAATAGGAAATAGAGGGATTTCTTCCTTTTTATTTAAATTATTTTTGCTTAAGATGTACTATAATCTTATTTACTAATACAACTGGCGAAGGCTTTACCCGACAAAGGCGAAGTGAAAAGGAGGGTTATGATTTTGGCCGATATGTATGTAAGTGTGTTCACGTGTTCGCAACTGGACAAATGAGTTATCATTAGAAGCGTATTAGTTGTCCGCTTATGTCCGGCTTTGTGACGTTACATTAAATTGGCAACAGTGCCCTCTAGAGAGCATGAAGTAAGAAACTAATTAAAATATATTATTCAATCCTTCCATGTTCAAATGAAAGGGCTAAATTAGAACATTTCTAAATATATATATTTTGCTAGCGATTTTGCTTAAATACACTCGAAAATAAATTAAATAAAAAAGAAGTTCATAAACTAAAACACAACTATAGCTAACAAGCGCTCTAAAAAGTTTCAAATAAGAAATTTATTTTATAGCGATAGCTATAACAAATTAGCTATGACCAAAGCACAGCTTAGTATCAGTATGCTGTATCAGTGCTGTGCAGCTGTATTCGGTTTTTAGGTTTTGAACTTATTTTTAGGCAGTTTTCTTTAAGTTAAAAACCAATATGTTTTAATTAACCTTAACTTACACTTTCTCCCCAAAATTAATCTATATTTCTACAGTAACAAAATGTAAATATTAAAAAATGAAACTATACGTATGACCTTCACGTTGAAAGAGTTTGAAATCACATCAAATACAGCTCACCTAGACATCGTCTCCTGTTGGAGATCGATACAAATGAAGTTATGCAGCGCGATAGTATGATATTGCGGCTCGACGGAATCTAACTTTTTCCTAGCGGAGTTTTAATAATAAGTAATTAGTTTAATTATTGCTTTTAGTCGGTAGCCGCTTTGGGGGTGGCCCTTTAATGTTGTAACATAGACTTCGTTACTACTACGAGGGTCAAACTGAAAGTTCTTAGAAAATCAAAAACTGATTACATTAGCCAGTTATTAGTTTTATTATATCTTTTCAAAATATTGTCCATTCACGTCAATACACCGCTGCATGCGATGGAACCACTGGGAAAAGCACTTTGCCCACTCGTCCTTAGGGGTCTCTTCAATGGCATCGCGATACGCAGCCACCGCTTCTTCAGCATTCATAAACCGCTTTCCTTTAAGTTTTTCTTTAATTTTTGGAAATAAATAAAAATCACAAGGCGCGAGGTCGGGGCTATACGGCGGGTGACCCAGTAATTCAACGTTTGATGTCGCCAAATAGTCGATCGTTCGCTTGGCGGTGTGCGACGAGGCGTTGTCGTGGTGAAGGAGGATCCTACTGCGAGGTCGTTTCTCTCGAACTTTTTCCAAGACAAGTGGCAAACAATTGGTAGTGTACCATTCTGCAGAAACTGTTTTTTGATCCTCTAACACAATTGTTGCAAAATGACCTATCCTTCCAAAGAACGAGGCCACCATTTTTTTTCCCGCACTTCGATCTCTCTTCACTTTAGTTGGCAACTCCTCGAAAGGAAACCCACTGAGCAGATTGTCTTTTGGTTTTAGGATCATAACAGTAAATCCAGCTTTCGTCACCTGTTAGTATGTCGAACACAGCATTTGAGTCACCTCCGTTAAATCTTTCAATCATTTTACGACACCAATCCACAGGATGGAGTTTTTGAGCCTCAGTCAAATTATGAGGTATCCACCGGGCGCAAAGCTTCCTGACCGCTAAATGTTCGTGGAGGATTTTGTGCACTTGACTCATACCGATGCCTAAGCTTGTCCGAATCTGTTGATAGGTCACTCTTTTGTCAGTCTCTATCATACGCCGCACAACACAGATGTTATCTTCAGTCGTCGCCGTAGAAGGCCGTCCCTCACGTAAATCATCAGTGAGATTAGTGTGACCACGTTTAAACTCATTAAACCAGTTGTAAACAGTCGCACGAGATGGGGCTTCATCGTGAAAGGCCAATCGTAGTCTATCATAACTTTCTTGTTGACTTAAATGACATCGAAAGTCATAAAAAATCATTGCACGAAAATTTTCTCGTGTTAAATTCATGATGACGTGACACAGAAATATATACTCAGTAATATTGGCAAAGAGTTATATTTTCAAATTTTAGAATTATTTTTTTATTATATTGTTTATAAGTGGCCAGTTCTAAGAACTTTCAGTTTGACCCTCGTACCCTATGTCAACTTTGAAATGTAGCCTTAATATAAACGAACGACATAAAAAAATCAATGTAAAGGCGTATTTGTAACTTAGTAAAGAAAGACCGTTATTGAAAACACATTTCGCTTTTAAATGTAGCTAATTTAATTCAGGCTATTATCTACAAGGGTGGTCTGTCTTGCTAACAGTAATTTACCATATTATCGTAACCAATTAACATCGATGGTTGTCGTGTCGAATGGGAGCAGTAAATGTCTACTGTAACGGTAGCAGGTATTTTTTGGATCATACCGTTTTAGTTTTCCTGTTATTAGGGAGTCAAAGGAATCTACTTTCGATACATCTACGTATTCGGTAATCTTATTTTTATGATATCCACTTATTTTATTATTGATTATCCATACTATGAATTTAATATTCTTTTCTTTATTGTCCGTAAGAGTGCAAAATGTAGGTATGTAATACAGACATACCTACATTCCAAAGTATTTTTGTACAAAATTTTTATATTAGTATAGATTTCAAAGTAGGTTAAGTAATTAAAGTTTTCATTTGTAATGTAAAATATTTCATTGTGGCAAAACAAACAATATCATATTCACGTAGTTATATAATTTTATTTTTATTATTGTTAAAGACTTCGAGATTTTTTATTTGACATAGCGTTTTTAATTTCCAATAAGTAGATTTTTTATTGTTTATTTGCGGAGTTCGATCAATTTACTCGATAAACGATGAGGTGAAATTTGTATTAGTAGGCAGACTTATAATTAAGTATACCGATGTAATTAAATGTTACATGTAACATGTATGTATATATAAGAATAAAGCAGTATCATGTTTCTTAAAAACAGTTAATACAAAAAAAGAGCAAGTTTGCTTTTTTAAACGATCCAGAAAGAATGCTGGCACGAATGAATGGTCTGAAATAAATGAATAAAAGGGAGCGAATGTTGGTGACCTTATTCTTGAGTGGAGTTGCTCGTTACCGCAGTACCTGGACCACAGAAACAAAGTGGCCCAAGTCTGTATGGAAATGGGCTGATTTTATTAACAGTCGATCCGGAGATAACGTTGCGTATCCTGATGCGGTTGGCTGCTTAGGGTTGTCGACAAATTATAAAAACGATGTATTAGCAATAAATAATGTTTTATTTTAAATACAGTATGTTTATAAAATTCAATATGCTTATAAATTTTAATAGCTATCGTAAACAGTAGGACTGTCTAACTTTATAGTCGTTTATTCAGGAAAACAATGAATGCACATTAATTTAAAAAGTCAGGAATGCCTTTAGAGTTTCACAATTGTACCATTTGTGGGTCATTGTATTTTAGTAACCTTCGTTCAATGATAACAGATACAATTAATTACGCATTTCTTTT